TGAAATTTCCAGTTTCAAGGGCAATAACCGAGAATTTGTAGAATCCACAAGAACATCCTTCATTTCTTTAATTTCTAATAGAATAAGATGTCTTTGACACCTTGCATGCAGAATTGAAGGTGCGTTTTTGTCAAATTAATGCAAACTCTAAATTGTAAAACATTTTTTTCTTCTTTTTTGTGATTGTTGGGGCAGTCCGATTTCTGGTTCTGCATCTATTTCTAGTAACACAAAAAATATGTCACATCTCAAAAAAGGTTGACAAATATGAAATCTATTGGCTAAGCCTGAAAGACCACCCAGTTCCCTTTCCATTGGTATATGATATGTCTATCTGGAACACTCAGATTATTGTAGGAAGCTTGAGAGCAAAAAGTCATGATATGAAATTTCCAGCTTCAAGTACAATAACTGGGAATTGAAGGATGTACTAGAACGGCCCTCGTTTCTTTATTTTCCAACAGAATTGTGTATCTTTGATACGTAATATGCAGACTTGAATGCACTTTGTCATGAAATAAATGTAAACTCTAAATTCTCAAACACTTTTTTCCCTTCTTTGTGGCTGCTGGAAAAGTCTGATTTCTGTTTTTGTTTCTATTTTAGTAACAAGAAAAATAGGTCACGCTTCAAGACAGCTTGATAAAAATGAAATCTGTTGGCTTGGTCTGAAAGACCATTCAATTCCTGTTCCATTGGTATATAATATTTCCATCTGGTGTAGATAGATTATTGCATGAGGCTTGAAGGTATGGAGGACCCCTGAAACACAAACGAAAAAGTCAAAATAGGCAAAACTGCAGGGAGAATCTAGATCTAGTAGTACCTATGACATAGACTGTCCACTACATTACATGGTAGGCCTACTCTTCTCTCTTCTTCAATTAAAAAAAAAATTGCAGTCTGTGCCTATAATATCAAGTAGCATGCCTAGTATTAGTACTACCAAAGATTCTCTACTTCCAAGGTATTGCAATCCTTCTTTGGGCCTTTGTCCCACGCCTTGGCGGGCCCGCTTTGCCGACGTCATTAGGCGACGCGAGGCTAGTTTCATCGCCGACTGCTTGGGGTGTGTGTGCGTTTCTTTGCACTTTGCAGTTCCCCAGTGCACAAAGTAGCGCTAGGGGACTGCACAGTCCCCCTCTGTGGGTAGCGCTAGGGGTCTGCACAGTCCCTAAACTACTTCCTTCTACAGTAAGCTATTGAAAGCGCTGTTCACGACGTTTTCCCGACACGAATGCGACCATCATACCGCTCCGACTGCAATCTCGACTCATCGGTGAAGAGGACATGACTCCGGTCTGCTCGCGTCCACCTCTGATGTTATGTACTCCACTTTCAGCCTGCTTCTCGGTGGTATTGGGTGAGCTGGGGTCTGCAGACAAGACATCTAAAATGCAGCTCAAACTAACTTTACACCATACCTGGAGTTGTTTAGGTTAACAAGCATTGCACT